CCATATATTGGACAACTGAATGATCGTAGTGGTTATTAGAGTATCGGTTAGCTTTTGGTGCATTGAAGCGGTTAAAGGTTTGATTTAAGCCTATGTTTCATTTAGGTGGAGTGCGATGTTTAACTGGTTAATAATTAAAACACAAAGCTCTTAATTAGGGGTAATTTAGTGTTTTTCAAGGAACTATAAGATGAGATCAACAAAAAGGTCGGTAGCAGGGAATCTGCATCAACATATTAGGCTCCTTGGGCTGGACTTTCTCCGTGGTAATAGGTGTAATGGGGGAAAAGGTAAAGTTTTTCTACTAAAATTGCTGGCGAATTAGTATGGTGTGGATGATGGTGTAGAAGTTGGGATGATGAAGGGTGGTTAAATACAAATAGTGGTTTTCTCTTGGGATGTTTTCGTTTCATAAAAAGTCTTCGTGCAAGGTTTCAGGCAATATGGACAGAGGGGATGGATGATTCGGAGGTTAATGCGGAATGGATTTGGTGAATTGTTAATTAGTTATTGGTTTTATGAGTTCGTTGCTGGTGAGTAATAACATCGTCTAGTTCATTCTCAAGCTGGTCATCTGGTTCTCAAGCTGGTCATCGTTTCATAAAAAGTCTTCGTGCAAGTGTTCGGGCAAAATGGACAGAGGGGATGGATGATTCGGAGGTTGAGGCGGAATGGATTTGGTGAATAGTTAATTAGTTATTGGTTTTATGAGTTTGTTGCTGGTGAGTAATCATATCATCTAGTTCCTTCTCAAGCTGGTCTTCTGTATTGAGACTAGGCACATCGGGTGCAATATTTGAAAGAAGAGAAAGGATAGGGGTAGCGTAAGTGTGCGAGGAGGCGGTGGTAAAGTTTTCAACATGTATAGAAGAGTCATAGATTGGAAAGTGGCAGGGAAAAAATAGTGGGACTGGGCTCGAAATCTAGGAATTAATCTAGTGTATCTACTGTGGAGTTATTGAAATTAGAGTTAAAATTAAAAACGGTTTTGAGTTGAGTAGTCAAAATCTATGTGTTTTGAGTAAGAAAAAATCTGGATAGGGAAGAACAAGTGAGATCAGAAATTGTAAAAAGGGAACCGTGACATTGGAGATTAGATGGGTATGAAAGAGAACGGTTGACGGATCCAGCTTGGCGGCTCATCGTTGTCTAAAAAGATGATAGTTTTGAGAACAAAAATTTAAAGTGTTCGGTTGCTCACAAGTTGTTCGTATATTTCGTCGTTGGTGAGTTGTTGAAGTGCTAATGAATTATCGGGCTACGTTGTAGGTTATTATTTTGTAACATACATTCGGCAGTAGAAATTTTATTTGTGGGACTATTGATAGAGGGTGGTTTTTTGTAAACTATTTAAATGTAATGAGATGGTGCGGTGGGTGTTTTTATTCGTATTGTCCTGTGGAGTATCGTATGCGTTTGTTTTTGTGGCTAACTTTCTATTGTATTTGCTAATTTGTGCATCAAGAAGAATTTCGTTAACAGAGGTGGAAAAAAATTCTAAAAAGTCCTGCGAATAGAAATCTTGCTACGCTTATTTGTCTGTTGACTTGTGTGCGTATTGTGCACGTATTTTAGTTTCCTTTAAGTAGTGAGAAGAGATAACCTATAAAATTAAACTTAGCGTATAATATAGTCAATCTTTCTAAGATATAAAATAGCCATCCTAAAAATGGAAGGATTCATCTCATTTTTGATATTTAAGAATCTAAAAATATTAATTGGTGGAATATCTTGTGGGCAATTTTTTTCTCCTTTTTGATATATATAATCTTTATTATCCCTATAATTTCTACTGTGGTCTTGTCTATAGACATCTGGAAAACCTGCCATTTCAGCTAGTTTTCGAAGGTTTTGATCAATTGATTGTCTTTATTTTGTATCCGTTTTAGTGAGGAATTTTTGAAAAGTTTGTGTACGATCTGATTTCGAGTACCTGCCTATGGGTTGTAAACCTATATTTGGGTCGCGAGCGATTGTGCGTATGCTTTGAGCTGAGACTTTCTTTAAAAGTGGCATTAAAGTGGGTATGGAGTGAGACGATGAAATTTATCTTCGTTTGGGTTAAACTGTACTACATTATGGCTGTTTTCAGATCCAAATGAGAGAGCTGTATCCCAAAAAAGTCTGCGGCGGGATAATGTGACTTTAAAATGTACTTTGTTTTTATAAAAAATAGGTATGCAATGGTAGCATCTCTTATCGTCAAATACATATAGTGGTGAGAATTTTTTATTACAAGTATAATACCAGAGAATATTTGAACTGGTTCCAGATTTTCAGTCTATTCTTGAGCAAAATTAGCAAGTGAGCAGGCTTGTTACAGAAAGCTTCAGGTTAAAACTTTTTTCAAAGCCCTGGTAATTCAATTTTACTCCAATAAAAATAGTTTCCGAAGTTTCATGAGCCATTTCAGGAAAAAAAAACATCAAAAGATTTCAAAAAACTGCAAAAAAATGAAAAAAAAAAATTAGAAAAATAAAGTTGAATTTATTTTCTGTTTTTAGAAGAAAAAATTGTTGGCCATTTTAAATGCCTATTATACTGTGATTATCAATTATGCTTAGGCTTTAATCTTTTTAGTACGTTTTCAAATATACTTATACAATTTAAACCCACCAATGTTTTAATTTACAGGCACTTGCTCATGTAATGTGCTATATTTCTTAAATTTTAATTTTTTACTTTGAAAATTTTCTTTTCCCAACATTTTCAGTAATTTTTGTAATCCCTTCTAGTATTTAATTTTTCGATCTGTTGCTTAACGACGACTTTCTGCTTCGTTTTTGCTTTTTTTTTGTTTCTTCTGAAGGACTTGCATTTTCGGTTAAGAGGTCAAAAATATTTGGCGAGTAAAATTTCTTTATGAATAAATTTACAGAAAGTATATGGTTTTTGCAAAAGCAGATCACGACATCTTTCACCTTTTTTCCCATAAAGCAAACTTCTTTTATGAGCCAACTTTTATATTTTGGACTAGGCGGAATGTATAAGCTGCTTGTTATGTTAATGCCTTATTCAATCTGTCATAATAGTAACACTGGACGGCAAAAACTGGTAATTGTGAAAAAATTCCACTGCCTACCTAATTCGGTTTTTCATTTTTTAAAGCTCAAAATATGTTTTTAAAACATCTTTCAGCCGTAACTTGAATCTCCATGAACGCTTCATAGGATGGTCAAGTTTTGTGAACAAATAATATTGCCATTTTTAATTTTCTGCTTTAATCAATGCTTTAATGCTGGCGTTTTTCCAGACATTTGTAAAACTGCAAAAGTACTACCATTTTATAAAACGGGAAAACAAACAGAGCCAAACAGTTTTCGACCCATACGTTTGCTAAGTACTTTCAGCAAAAATTTTTTAAAAATAATACACATTCGCATGATTAAGTTTATATCAAAATGCAAGCTTTTGGTGCCTGAATAGTTTGGGTTCCGGCACAGATGTTCTTGTGTGCATGCAATAACTTCTGCATTCGAAATAATGCGTCACTGTATAGATGATAAAAAATCTGGATTAGCGGGTTTTGTAGATCTTAAAAAGGCTTTTGACACAATTGATCACTCCATTTTACTAACCAAATTAGATCTCTATGGGTTACGAGGTACAACAAACACTTTTCTGCAGTCTTATTTAACCAATCGTAAACAGTATCTATCTTTTTGTGGAAAAACTCTCAACTGAAAAATATTACGTTCGGAGTTCCCCAAGGATCTGTCTTAGGTCCACTGCTGTTCTTACTCTATATTAATGACATGCCTACGAAAGCAACGAAAAGCTCAATTTGTCTGTTTGCTGATGATACAACGATTCTTACTACGTGCAAAAACAATTCGATTGATAAAAATTTTATCCAGGACCTTAAATCGATAGAAAATCGGTGCACAAATAATAGACTAACCATCAATATTGATAAAACGCAAGTATCCAATTTCGGAAGGAGTTCAAAAGAATCTGAAATGTTTTTGGGGAATCAGAAACTTAATGTTGTGAACTCCTTCAAGTATCTTGGGGTTGTGGTAGGTAATAAGCTCTGATTTAAGCCACACATAGATCAAGTTTGTAAAAAGTTAGCTAAATTTAATGGAATTCTTGATAAAGCAAGAAATGTTTTTTTCTAGAACGTTTCTTCTTAAGTTCATTCAAGTTTATGCAAAACCTTTAATATCATACGGCATCTTAGTTTATGGATGTGCGTCCAAGACAAATTTAAACAAAATCCTTTTAATGCAAAAGCGAATTTTTAGAACTATTTTCTTTAGGCGAAAATTTGATCACATTACGGAAAATTTTTCAGAATATACTATTGATTCCGTTTTGAATTGTTTCTAGATACTGTTTTTGAAGAAGTTACTTATCAAATACTTGGTAAACCGCCATTAAAGTTTTTGTATTTTAATCAACTAAATAACTGTAGGCAAACATGTGCTCGTATCTTGAGAATGCTACGTTCAAAATCTGTAAGATCTAACTGCATATTACAATCGGTTAGCGTTAAAGTGCTCAAGTTTTACAAATTTTCTTCGGCTAATAATCTTTTTCCAGATAATTTTTAAGATATGTCAAAATCTCAATTGAACTCGTATGTACAAAACACTGAACGTAATTTTGTCTCAGATAATTTTGAACTCCTTCACCTGATATTTGACGAGTGATCTAATTCCTGCCTTTTCTTTCTCCTCAACTTATTCTGTAAAAGTCTACCTTATGGGACGTCTCCTTGAGGGGCCTTAGGGCCCGTGAGTCGATCCCTGTGAGTATCTTATGACTGATGCTTGTTAGTTATATGTGCTCACTAAATAATTCAAGTAAGCTTCAGTTTTTTTACCCTTCCTTAAAATACTGAGGGTTTGAGAATACTGGAATTAAATCTTATTTTTTATGCAGCGATTACTATGTTTGGATATTTCTGTGCTAAAACGCACAGACAGCAACTGGCTGTCCGTTCTCTTTCAAGACTCAGCTTAAAAGTGACGTAACTGAAAATTTCTGTTGTTCAGACTTCGTCTAAGGAGTGTTCGTACCAGGAGACAGTGACTGAGGCTGCCACTGACAAGTACAGGAGACTGCAACACAACAGTGTCAGAGACTATCAGTCCAATCGCAGTTCAGGATGGAGGTGGGCATCTGACGACAAACTGGAAAAATGAAATGGGAAGAGGAGGCGTGAAAGAAAAGGGATACTTGTGAAGAACTCTTAGTCAATGAGATCTAAAGCTTCTTTTCTTTTCCATTCCTTCCTACAGGTTTATAACTTTTTTTAAAAGATTCGCGGCTAAAAGCCCGGTTTCTTAAAAAGAAATAAAAAAAATGTGATCAGGTTGTTCTAATTGACCACCATGCCAAGTGCCTTACATTCTAAGAATTTGTCTTATATCTTTTGAAATTGTGGAGTAAACTTGCAGGGGGGACTGGAAAAGAGGTCTGCCTTCGAATCTCAAAGTGCACTAAGTGTTCATTTGCTTAAAAGACTGCATAGTCGGTTTGGTTGAAAGATGTTCTTTTTGAGCGCAAATAGAGAATATATGTTGCCGAATGACTTCTTTAAATTTGCAGAGAAACCAGGACTGTAATCATTTGGCTCAGGCACAGACTTAAAAATTTATATTGGGTAAAATAGTCTCAAGCTAGAAAAATTGATATTTTTGTTTATTGCAAAACCACTCGATGGAATTGGATGAAATTATCTTCAAAAAAAACGTTCAAAGAGTCTGTAAGAAAAACAACTACAGTTTGCTCGTTTCAAAATTTATATGCAGTAATTTTAGAGAAGTCAGTTTCTATAAGTTTCAAAAGCGAACATGTATTTTTTTCTTAATGGCACAAATTTGCTTTTTGGCGCTGCAAAAATTCACTAGGATTAATGAGGCTTCACAAGGCATAATTTAAGCAAAACATATATTCATTTTTTGCTTAATATCAAACAAAACCCAACTGCAAATCTTATTATGAATTTTTGATGAGAGCCGCACGGACATTGCAGTGGTTTTATTTTTAACCGCAGTTAAATACTCTAAGAAACGATCAGTTACAATTTTAATTAAACATGGTTAAAGTAGCACAACTCTGAGAGGTCTTATTTTTTTCAAAACAGTTCGCATAGTTAAATATTTTTTAACCATCAACGGAAAAAACTAGTCTGGTTTGCGATAGAATTTTATACTTTTTGCATGCAAATTCGGGTTGCACAAAATCAGGTTTCACGTCAGATTAGGTTGAATAGTGTTCAGTACCATTTTTGGATTTTTTGTTGGATATTCAAAGTTTCTAAGAAAAATTGTCGAAAAAAAACGATTTTGAAAATATTTCTTTTTCGTTTTATTTAGAGACAGCAAAAAAGCGAGTGCAACTAAAATATCTTAGTTTTACTCGTAGTTTTTTCACACCACGCATAAAAACAGACTTTTTTGAAAAATTGGTTTTCAGAAAGCTACCAGGGAGTACGGTGCGTTTTTTTGCGACCAAAATTTAAAGGCCCAAAGTAAAGCTCACTATAGTTCAAGCTCACTGTATCATAAGCACTACTACTTGTTATTCGAAATTTAAAAAGAAATCACTTGTCTCAGTAACAGGAAATTATGTGCTCAAAATATGTTCACTCAGCTCAGATTAGCAAGCAGATTACTGTTGTCGTTTAGCAATTACTTCAACATAGAAATAGAAATTACCCTTCAATTTTTGGTTGACCTGTCATTAATTATTTCTTGGAAAAATTAAGTATTTGCTCCCCTATTCACCACGAAAGCCAAGTGTTTGACCCTACCCTAGCCGTTATTTTTGCGGAACATTCTATGCAGACCTTTCGCACAAGCAAAGGCAGTGGGTCGGAGACTTCTGTGATACTACAACAGCAACGCATTATTCTTGTTTTTACTTTCGTTCAGCCCAACCGCCTCCAAATGCAAGTATATATACTTTCGCAGCAACTCAATTGTTAACGCATTGACATTCGACATTGAAAACCTTTTACCGAAATGATCCCCAAATCAAATCTATTTGTCAGGAAATTATTATTTGAATTTTTCGACATGGACATGATTTCACTTCGCTATTTTACGTCATTTAAATCGTGTAGCGACAAAAATGCAGCATTATTTAAACCTCTAAGTTTCAAACTTCGAGTTTTCAAGCATAGACAACAAAGATGAAAAAGAGGCAATGAATTCAACGAAACAAAAAATGCAACTGATAGTTGGGAGTCAATGAATGCAATGAAGCAGAACAAAAATTGACTTGTTTTTTGACATATCCTCAATTTTGTTTTTTTTTTTGAAAAAAAATTTGAAAGCCTTGAAGGCCTTTGAATGCTGAGTGCTCCATTTTGATAAAAATTAATTCGTTTTGAAAAAATGGGATCAATAGGCAACTTTTTAATTCGCTGAAAACTCTGAACTTTAATTCAAAAAATCGAAATCCAAGCAGCATAAATCAAATCGATGCGTGACTACTTCTTGAAAAAAAACTTACAAATATCGCTATAAGAGGATTCATTACGATCATTACTTTTGAAACCTTCCGAAAATCGAATTTCAAAGTAAAAAATATGACTTTCGAACTCAAATTTAATTGAAGAGTTTATATTTACTTTCTTGATAAAAAGAATTTTGTTAGAGAAAACTGGATGAATAGGCAATTTTTTTTCCGATGGTAACTCTGAGACTTGAAATAGACGTTCAAAACTGGTAGTCGATCACGTTTTTCGAGATTTTTACACGTTTGCAGTTGGTTAATGCGGTTTGCCTTCATTTTACAGGAAATTAACTGACCTTAAAAAAATCATCAATCAAACTGCATCAGGCTTCCTGAAAAAAATCATCTGGAACTATCTAAGAGTCTTACCACGTTCATGACTTTAAAACATACTTTAAAATTAATTAATTATTTTAATTTTGAGGCCTGGGAAACGATATCTTCAAAATGTATTATATGGCGCTCAGAAAAAATTATTCCGATAACTTTGGGCTAAAAAGTGCTGCTCCGTTTAGGAAAAATAGAAGACACAGATCAGCTCTATAAAGCTCAATGAGAAAAAGTAGAGTTCAGCCTCGCTTTAGTAAAAATTCGGCTGAGGCTCGGATTCGATCTGCGACCTACAATGAGTCTCACTAACTAACCACGGACGTTTAATTTATCTAAATAATAGCCTCAAACAAAGCAGAAAATAGATTCCATGAAATTTCGAATGCTACAGATCGTGATTACAGCAAAAGTTCCACCGAATAATGAACACTTTTTTGAGAGATAATTTAGAAAAAAAGAAGGATCGCACTAATACACTTGCTCGCAATTTAAAAGATTTTACAATTTTGCCGGTACGATTTAAGGTAAATACAAGATCAAAGAGAGCGGTCTTGTTGCGAAATCCACTTACAATTCGCAAAATAGAGTTTGGCCTCCGTAATGTTTCCACTATTAACTCAAGTTAAAACAGGAATTCAAATTTCAATTCAAGCATCGACGAAACACCGACAAAGTTCATCAACATTATGTCGACACTTCGCAATCAATCGAAAAATATTGCAGCAACATAGAAGACGTTTAAATTAATGCAATTAACGAGTTACGCTTCCGCTTGTTTTCCACAATGGTTCCAATGTCATGGGCCGCTTGAACAAAAAGAACCCCTCGGCTTTTTTTAAAAGAGACAACCAAAATGAAATGAGCTTACATGATGCTCGTTTAATCCTTGCGTGCTGTAGGAAACTTTTCCTCTTAAAATGAACAGAGCCGTAACTCAAACACAATTGAAAGAGATTTACTTTTAATAACAGTCTAGCACATCAAGGGTAGTTATAACATAACAGGGTATTTGAGTAGAGTATGATTACTAATCAATGTTTTTGAGTAACTTGAGTTATAATAAACTTATTGTTGTGATTTGTGTTCGCGATCTGATAAATTGAGGAGCTCATTCAAATTTATGCCAACAAATCTCTCTAAAGAGTCTCGGACTGATTTTCAGGAAAACTAAATTAATCTTAATGCATCTAATTGCATCAATTTAGCCAATTTGTAGTAGTTATTACGAATCGAAAACTCGGCGACCAACACGAAGATAACAGTCTGCGAGTCGAACAACAATCTAGCAGAAATTCAACAAAACCGAAAATTTCCTCGGGAAATGCCAATCGCATAAGTATTAACATAAAATAAAATTCACATAATTTACTTAGTTTTCAGTTTATAATAGCGTATCAATTTAGAGGACAACAAAGATTAAAGTCTAATTTATATAAACGTCAGTTTCAGCACAACTCAATTCACTCAAGTCTGGATTCGAATTGACTGGATTGATTGGGGTTCTTCGTTTAGAACGACTGGAACCCCGTGTATCCACTTTGGTTGCCCAGTACACTCATTTGCACCTGGGCAAAGTAGGGGTCGTATCCTGCCTGTTGCTGACCATTGCTCATTCCACGCGACATCTAAATTAAGCGACCTCCGGTTTTAGAAATGTGGAGAAGTTAACTAACCACTAACCAATGTGAACATTCATAACCGAATTGGTTCAACCAACTTCGCTAGTCCTCAACAATGGAACCAATATATATTACCTTCCTATATAATCTTCAAGGCGCGTGTTTAATAAAGCGGAAAACTTCGATATAAAAAAACGGAAAATGTACTACTTCAAAGACCTTCTGTCATTAAAACATTCAATTAATTCCAGGGATTTAGGCGAACTGGAAAATTACGCGCCAATAAAAATTTGTAATTTTTGTAAATTGGACAAAATTTGCACATTTAAACCTGTTTTTAGCGTTTTTGTTTTCGTCTACCAGGCATTCCTCAACACAACGAAGCAAAATTACATTATCGTCAATCGAACATCATCATCATTTAAGCATGTACCATTCTAGTCTTGGTGAAGGTGCCAGCCCGCCTGGGAATACCTCGTCCAGATCCGCCCCGTCCCATGCCCCCGCCTGAATTGTAACTGCCTGGTCCCCCATTGTTGAACCCCATCACTGCCGCCTGAGATACATTCTGCGAACTGTTATTGTACATCTGCTGGTTCCTATATCCACCTTGGAAGTTTCCTTGATTACCTAAAACGTAAATAGATACGAATATAGCCAGCAGACGTCTCAATGCACTCGGGGAAACTGAAAAAACTACTGGCTATTTTGAAAAAAATATATGGCCTTTTATTTCTTGGGTAATTGTTAAAATTAAAGTTCCCAATTTTCGAAAGCTGGGCAAAAATTAGTTTAAGCATAGTTGCAATTAACGATTTAATTAATGAACTGTACTACTTCAAGAACTCATGAAAACTCCTAAAAAAATTTCATTAGTTCTTTGAAGTATTGAATTAATAAACTAATTAATGAAGTAATGAAATTTGCTAAAAAAAAAAGAACTGATTGAAACGTTTTCTCGATAGGGAAAAATGAAACCCATTCATTTGTACCTCCCGGAGTGCCTTTGATAGTTTGCACCATCCTCTTCGCCACACCCGTCAGTGGGACATGGATCTGCACGTCTATCTGGGCATCCTTCAGGATCTGCTGATTCTCGGCCGCCTCCGCTGCTTCGGCCGCAGATCGGTCGTTGTAGGTGATGAAAGCGTAGTGGTTCTTCTTGTTCACTTTCTTGATGTGTCCGTACTTCTGGAATCGGGCAACCAAGTCGTCATTCGAGATTGCCTCTGTCAAGTTGTTCACGAGGATAGCGGTGCTGTTCGCTACTACTTCCTCATCAGGGTTCTCTGCATGGTAAATGGGAATTTTACAACAAACAGATACAAAACTTTAATCTATACTTTCGTATCGCTTTCTGTCTCAAACGGCAAAAAAAACCTTGAATCAACACAGCGACTAAAATTCATCAAAAGGTTAACAAAATTATACAATTATTTGAACATAAGCTTGCAATTATATTTTAGCTGTAAAAACTTAATTAAATTTGCAGAAAGTCCTTCTTAAAACTGTATGGCTATGAAGCTAATCCATTCTTGGATCCTCCCAATTTTTAATTCTTCAATCTAAGGACGTGCTCGAGAACGCTTACCAAACATACCAAAGTAACATACATGCACTGCCTATTTCTCATCCACGAGCACAGCTTAGTAAACCAGTGGTTTCTAGTTTTCACCATTCTGCTGGCAAATTTAATTACGGGAAAAGAAACGAAAGGGTAACAAGCGGGGGTTTCTCGAAAAATTCTGTTGACCTTCTTTTAAAGTCAGCCATTTCAAATGCCACGGGAAACTTTAAAATGGTCATACTTTTTCGAAAATGAGCAAATTCTCCGATCAAATAGCATGTCACAGCAACTAGATTTCTTGAGTTTAATTTCTAGCTAGCAAACGACTTACCCAAAGGAATAGCCCAGTCAACGATGAATCTGGAGAAGTTGTCCCATGAAGAAATCTTCTGTCGTCCATTCATCAGTCGCTTCCTAGCAGCAGCTGCCTCGAAGTAGGAGTCGAATTCTAAGAAGCAGAAGCCTCTGTTCTTTACATCACTGCTAGCACCAGATGGAGGATCCTGCAGAATCACACCTGCCAACCAACAAAATCATGAAGCGAAAAACGAACAGAAATTATTTATATTACAAGATTTCAACGTGTATTTAAACAGCAGAGGGACACCAAACAGAGGACAGCAAACGGACCTGGCAAGGTCTCAAAGTGCTGCCAAAAGAATTCGTCGATTGCCTTTTTAACGCTGTAAGATTTTTTTAACAACCTCTAAACATAACATGTGACCAAATTCTTGGCTATTTACCAATTTTCCAGTTCGCGTTTCTAATTTTGAGACGAGAAAAAATACCAAGCTATTCCGGTGATGATCACGGTATAATTAGCACTGATTTTGTTTAAATCATAAACGAAATGATAAACTTTTGGTGATTTTTGATTATTCGCATCAATTTTTCAAAGTAATTTCGGGAATTGCGAAAAGCAAGAGATAATATACCCATACTAGTCACCATACTTGTGTAAACTGCAACCCTATGGAAAAGTTACTGCCACTTGAAAACAGGAGTGGAAACCCTTGCGCCTTGTCCTAAAGTCTATGCTACTACTACGACTACTACTAGAATGCGACTTACATTTGAGATTCTCGACCTCCTTTGAGAATGCATTGTAGATATCGTCCTTCGATTTGCTCTTAGGCACTCCTCCGATGTAGAGTCTGTTGAACTGAACAGAGAGTTTCACTATGATCCTCCTGTTCGGCTTAATCTCGTGTCGGTTCAGTTTCTTCACAGCTTCTTTCGCTGTGTCCTTGTCACAGTAGGTCACAAAGCCATAGCCTCGATTGTACCCTTAGAAAGTCATAATTTTTACACAGAGGCAACGCGGAGCTTCGCACCACTTGCGATACAACACTAACATAACATAAAAACCAAAAGCCGAAAATGAAAATTTTTGAAAAAAAACAAGGTCATATAAACTTTCTTATGACTCGATTGAAGGTCATTCCAGGCAAACATATCATGCACTTGATCTTTAAATCAGCGACAACGGAATAAATTGTACCAAATCAAACAAAGCCGACAATCTTTGAGCAGACACAAGTTGCCCCGAAAAAAATGCTTAAAACCAAAATGTTTAAACTTAAACAACAAGGGACAACATTTGCACTTGCAACTACAAGGAAAATTGTCTACAGCACAAGCAAAATCCTTTGTGGCAATTTAGCCGACAAAACCTGAACGAATAAAGGAAAACCCAGCAATCCATTTTTCTCGGATTTATTTTTCAATTTCCTTGATACTGAAAAAAAAACAAGATCCTGCCACGACTTGAACCCCAGACTTTAGGGCACAAGGTCAATTGCTTTACCTCCAGGCCAAGTGGGAAGCAACCGACAACATGTTGAGAGAAGCTAAGAAGAGAAGAAAAGATAAGAAGAGAAGTGAAAAGCAGTGATTCAACTGATTTTGTTAAACTAGTTGTTAACCCGAAAAAAAGTCTATATTCCAGTTTGATAACGCGGCTCTTTTTCCTCCCTCCCCCCCCCCCCACCTGCAAAATTTTATCAATAAAAATTATTTTCACTTTTTTCAATTGTTATGAAAATTGAAAATTGACATACGGACTAATTAGGTTATGACAAACATATTTGGTCTTCATAATTAACCTTGTAAAACTACCCGTTACACCATAAAATTAATGTTCGTGTGAGGTGGGGGGAAGAAAAAAGAGCCGATAACGCTTGCTTATCGCAAGCTTAATGATGGTCAATGGTTGTAGACAAGTTAATAGGCTTCAACCAATCGAATAGCTGTACAATATTAAAGCGAATACAGATGTAACCGAATTTTGATATTGGCTAAAAGTATGTTTTTTTGGATGTCGAATCGAGAGATCTGCCTTTGTTTTGAGACAATAAAATCTATTGCAGTGTATGTGAATCGTAGGAGTGAGACGATAAACATTTCAAGACTGTTTGTACAAGACTAAGCAGTTAACTCAGAATAGATATTGTTATCCTTTCTGATATAATTATACATTTTTCTTACAAAAAGGAAACTAATTAAAGTGACCAAAAATAATCAAACCTTCATTATCAACAATGACTCTCAACTCGTATATCTTTCCCACAGTTTCAAACACAGGTATCAGATCGTCCTCAAAAACATCTTGAGGCACGCGTCCCAAGAATACTTCAGTTCCAGGTCCCGGCTTCGGTCCAGTCCAGTTGGGCGGAGGTCCTCCATACTTCCTCAAAGTTGTAGATACAGTATGGCTATATCCAGTTCGCGCCAGAATTTCCTTCAGCTTGGCAGCATCTGGTGCCTTTTTAGTTGGCGGCTGTCTTTTTAGAATTTGCACTTGTCCCGGCTGCATGTCTGGCGAAACTCCAGGCGCCACTACAACATCGCCGTTTTGTCCCCCAGGATAAGGATATGCGCCAATTACACCTTGCTGAGCGTCGCCACCCGCAATTTGAGCCGGTTGCGTCACACCGTGGGATCTAAATGATCTGATGACTCCGAGAAAGAAAGCGGATCGGTTTTTAACAGATGAGAGATCACTGACTCGTAACTTCTGCACAGCTTGCAATGCCACTCCTTCCGGAAGAGCTTTCAGATTGTCTATGACCTGGTCGGACAGTTGGGTATGGGCCAGAATGCCGTCTTGGCAAAGTCGGTCAACAGCCTCGGCCAGCCGAGCTGAGCATCCGAGTCCTTGAAGGAGATCGTACTGTTCTGATCGCTCAACCATTTTGTAAGATGTTTGTTAGAGAACACAAATCACTCTGAAAAAACATCAGAGATGTACTGAAGCGAAGGGGTTTGCTCTTTTCATAGTTTTGAATGCTGAGGTTTAATGGTTTAATATCTCACACTCGGTCGTATATACACCCTCCGAAGTATAAATCAGCTAAAATATAAACCAGCCGAAAACACTCAATTGTTATATAATAGTTACCTAAAATTTATGTAAGTTACGAAAGTCATGCAAATTTTTTCATATGGTATAACTTTTCGGCTGGTTTAAATGTGCGCATTTTCGGTTCATTTATACTTCGGCTAGTTTATTTACACTCCTCATACTCATAATCGACTTGTACTAAGGATTTTATATCAACATGGTAGTTTAATCAATAATTTGATTTAATAACTTCAACGGAGATTCCTCTGAGTTTCGTCATTTAAGCTGGTTAGATTTTTAAAAATCGGAATTTCTTTCTCAAAAAAGCATTGATTCAAATCTCAATTCAAGCAACCGAAGACGCGTTAGAAGAAATTTTAGGCCATAAATCAGCACACTCTTTTGCAACCGGTCCAGTTATGGCAGATCCCTTCATCTCTCCTTTGACATTGACAATAACACCAGCATTGTCTTCAAAGTAGATAAAAACTCCATCCTTCCGTCTGTATGGTTTTCGTTGGCGGATTACAACTGCAGGCATGACCTATCAATTACAAATATCTTTTTCAAATGAACTATTGTAAGTATAGATGATTGAATTTCAATTTTTTACACTATTATATTAAAAAGTTAGAACGACAAGTGTAAGCAAAAAAGAACAAAAAAATTTTTTTTTTTCGACGGCTAGCTTTTGAGGCTAAGGCGCAACCAACATCAACATTGAAATTTTTTTGAGCAAGCTTTGTTTTTTGGACATTGGCACATTCAGTCAACAATTGGATCTGAGTAACCTATAAAAAAAACTACAGCCTAGCCTACATTTGATTGAAAATGAATCATTAAGCGTATCTGAGATTAATTTAGCATTCCAAAAATTTATTCAAATATTGCGATAAATTACATATTCAACACAGAGGCCAAGCGGAGCTTCGCACTACTGGGGACATCATACACACAAAGCATTGCGAGCTAGCAGAAAAATAAAAACAAATCTAATATGTCACAAAATGTCCAAAATCAAATATTACAAAAACTTTTATCTCAAACGATTTCCAATTTGAGGAAAAAACGTGCAGCAATAAAACATGGCGTTAATTCTTCAACTTCAGTAAATTCCTCTTGAGTCGACAAAAAAAAATTAGTGTCATTTAAGCTCTAAGACTTATGAAGTATGTTTCGCATCAACGCATGAATAATTGGGTTTTTGCTCATTAAGCCGAACCCCCAATGCAAAAGAAGCCTAATCGTAAAAAAATTAAATATACAAAGTCTGGACAAGTAAATTATTAACAAACTACATGAGTAAAAATAACTTGCAACTACAATTAACATGCTTGTAGCACGTGACAATTTTGATGTGGCGACAAGCCGACAAAATAGATAGACTGAAAACAATCAGAAAAATGATAGACTCAACTTTTTCAAACTGTTTTAAAAAAATAAGTCCTACCTGGATCCGAGCCTAGGACCCTAGCCGTAGTCGTTACCTCTAAATCTTGTGGGTCGCATCTGCCAAAAATTATTTTTTCTTATGAATCAAGCAATCAATTGATTCGAAGATTCTGTTAAATTATTTGATAAACCGAAAAGTCTATACACGATTTGTTAACGCTTCCTAATCCCAAGCGTATTACTTCATTGCATAGCCCGGGTAACGATGAACCCAGAGCACAAATTTATTACTACAATTACTGAGGGAAAAAAAACGTTTTTTTTGGAAACTATTCATCGTGTACTTATTGGTTACTTCGTTATTTCAGGTGTTACGTATACTAAGACTGCTCTTTGTTCCAATCTTTAAGAGCCGAGAGAAATTTGTCTTCGAGTGTTTCTTAAACTTTTTTACGCAAAATCAAGTGCTACAAAAAATCATCGGAATGCGCTGAGTGATACATTATTTTAAAACTCTTTCAGTCGTGCAATGAATGACATTATTAAATTTCCGAAAAGTTTCCTTTATGTCCAGAAAAACCGGTTTTAGATTTTTAAGGTTTAGTTAAATTTCGAGCAAAAGCCGACCGAGCAGGCTTAGAATGAGCCGACAAGCTTACATTCATGGAGACAAAACTTAGTATTAGTTCAGTAAAAAGTTTGACGTATTTTGCGCTTTCTTGGAAATACATTTTTTCAACTGAAAAAACCTTTATTCTATGCATTTTTTGGATACAACTTTTTTCGAGTTTGTCAAAACTACCATGCCTAAACTTGAGGCCTTCGTACGGATCATATTTAAATCAATTGAAAAACAAGGAAGAGAAAGGTTAAATAAAATAAATTCGATTTGGAAAACTTTCAAAATATGGGCAATTCGAAAACACCAGATTCCGGTTTTAAAAAGAAATAGAAACACATTAACTCTACTATATTTAATATTTTTAATGAGTATCCAAGAAAGTGTCAATCAAAAAAAGAAGTATCAATCAAGCTCGTGAAAGGATAAACAAAGAAGAAAACACCTATTTTTATCAAGAGAAGGTAACCATTGCGGTTAATTACCGAGACTCTAAAGTAAATCGGAAACAGAGAGCAAATATCTAAAATTGTTATGACAACAAGATTTGGGGGCCCAAGAAATTCTGGACTGGTGCAACGCGTGAGAAATTCTTAGTCTAATTAGGATGATCGTATCAGGGCAAAGCTTCAAATAGTTCGACTGCGCATTCAGTTAACTTTAAGAAATTAAACAATAAAATTTTCAAAAGAAAATGAAAAATGTTTTCATTTTACTGAGAAAAGCCCCTGTGCAAGGCAAAGTAAAAAATTGAATATTTTGCGTTTTTTAACGCCGTTTTAATTATCATTTTTCAAATCGTCATTTTTCTTATCAAAGGTTAACGCAATTAATATACGTCTTCGATTTAAGATCAGACAAACGTAGTTTTCAGAGCAAAACTTGTCAAAAATAGCTAGTTGAACTATCAAATATTGTATAAAAAATATAGTATACCAATATAGCACAAATACTCCGTCACTTTCTTTGACGGTCGGTACAAAAACAAGAAATCGAAAAAGGGATAGGTTGGCGACCCTGGTCCTTACTTGGCCTTCAGGTGGTTCAAGGAGAATGTTATAAACATTGAGCACCATTGGATCTACAACCAACTAATTTGACATTGAATAGCTAAAGTTGTCTTAGCTTTTAATTTTCTCTCTGTTAACATTTGAATCTCAACGATCGAAAACTGAAGTTCAATTTAAAGCAAGTTTAGATTGAGTAGAGTGCTGGTTTTCGAGCGTCTCTTATTGATAAGTTTCTAAGAAGGATATTTTAGACAATCACAAAACTTTTACTCAAAATAATGAATCTTTTAGCTCAGCTGGAACAATTCCTATTAATGGAGATGCTGGAATTTGGGGGCAAACATCTGAGATTCTAAACAAAAAAATCATCTATAATAGCAAGCACATGTGAAACAATCTGACAATAAAAATGATCCAAAACCCGATTTGGATTCACAAACCGGCGATGTGATTCAAAATTTCCAAAAAAGTACGAATTTTCAGTCATCACCAATATCGTAATTGTCTAGTGTATATTTTTTTCTTTTCTTTCCAAAATTATAGTTGTTTTGTGCGGCAATTCTACTTTCATATATCGGATGGAAAACTTAGTTAAACGAAAACCCTTTTTAGGTAAAGTGAGCTCCCATCAAAAAAAATTCCCAGCTATACTGAAGTTTGAGCGGATATCAATTCGATTGATCAATTTTATCATATTTGTTCTATTACTCAGATGAAGTGTTCTATTACTCAGACAAAGTGGTGGCATAGAAACCATTCCAGGTCCCATTAAAAAAATTAAATCGTTCTATATATATATATATATATATATTGTTCAAAAATGCAAACTATCTGAAGTTTGTCCATTTAAAGTTTCAAAGTGTCAATTGAAATTGAAGAGAGTTTTGAGAAACTTCATGTTACGGGCAAAAAAATAATTTAAACGATTTCTCAAACTTAGCTTTAAAAAGAAGATGTCATATTATGGAATCTTGAACCGTATACCTAAATGATGTTTAGATATGACAGACAACCGTTGATGAAAAGGAAAGCTGGCGATACTTAATTATATATGTCATTAAAAAAACCCCTAGCGTGTAAGACGATTTATACTTGTAAATAGTTAAAAAAAGAGTCAAAATGGGTGGAAAGCACATCTAGTTTCAATGTTGCCACTAAGGAAAAAATTGAAATAATTCAGGTTTTAACTCAGACAGAATTTTTTTTGAGTTTCTCAAACAATTGACTTTAAATATCGACTCTGCCTTTTCTGCATCTAACCACAAAACTTTAATGCGTCATTATAACAAAAATTACTTGAACAAATCAAAGAAAGACCATTTAAAATCGATCATTACTACGTATCAATTGAAATTTTTAGCCCAAATGATGCAACACGAGTCAGTGCATTGGCGCGAACACTTAATGATGATCTGATGCATGAGTAAAATTGATTTGAAATGATACACTCTAAAAAAATAGACAAGTTTGAATCATTTATACCCAACAAACGTCTACTGTAAAAAAAACCGAAAATTATTTTAAAAAAGTTACCAGAAACTGAACTTTTTCAAAACTCTATTCGCTTTCTTGGTTTCAACTATATTGATGTAATAACTTAAAAAAACTAATTTCAGAACAGACAAAACTTGTGTCTGATGCTCTTCAGCAACAAGCCCCAAGCGAACAGAAAATTTTGTTCGTAGTTTTGCAGCGAAAAAGTGTATTGAAAACTGATTGTTTTGATTCAGAACAGATTGGAATGGAAACAAATATCACTTCTAGCTGATCAAAATCAAATCTAAAACGATAACTGGTAAAAACACCCACTTGGCCGCTGTCAAATTGGTTAGTGATAACGGATTTAAAAAAAAAAACAA